AGTATGCCTTCCATGCCTGATAGACTGCCTAGCTTTTGCATTATAGGAATCAAATATTCATGCCTGTCCTTCAGAGCTATGCTGTTAAAAGCCAACAACCATGAATCAGGATGGTAAATCTGTCCTTGAGACAGAAGATAAACAATCTGGCAGAGCCCACAGTGTCTGCCAGTATTACCAGGTTGGTGGGTCAATCCAGAGGAATAAGTATCACCAACATGCCCTCCATCTCAATCCTGTGAAGCAGACACGTTTCAGGGGAGGGAAGGCATAGATCAGGGTGTTCTGATCCCAGAGCCACCAAAGCATCTACTTCTGCTATAGTATCTCTGTAACCGGAGAAAAACCTGTTCAGTTTGTTGAACCTGAAGGCCAGGACATCCACATCCCACAAAAACGGTCCTAAAACATTTTTGGGTGTAGGGACCACTCCCCTGGTACCAGGCACTATTGGCAGAGTAAGTCTGCCTGGCAGCTGTGTACACACCTGTGACGTAGAAGGTTGGAACATGAAGATGTTGCCACAACAGGATCCAAACTACCTTCCTTACCCCAGCAAGACTTCTGGTTCCTCCTTATGGTTTATGTATGCCACCATTAAGTTGTCTATCTGGATCCGATAATCCTCCAGCAGGATGGTCCAAAGCTGCAGAGAGCTATATCACAAAGCTCTGGGATGTTGATCAGGAGATGAGACTCCAACGACAGTGCCCGGGACTTCTCCCCAGTCTGACACGCATTGAGGATCTTTCAAATGTGGAGATGGAAGAACAGTTCCTGAGCCACCAAGCCAGGGACAACCTGGCCCTCTATCACAAATCAATCTGTCCAGGGATCAGACTGATTTGTCCCACAACACAATGCTGTTCTGTAGAGGTTTGGTGTGAAACTGGACAAATGGAAGTGCCTTAAAGAAAGCTACCACCAGGCCCAGGACTCATGCAAAAGTGAAGAGTCATGTGACTCCTGGACTAGAGAGTTGGAATCAGAGACTGGAAAATCTGAAGTCTTTCCTGTAGAAGCAACACTTCCTGGCCTAAGCTGTTTTCAGGCCTAGACTCAGAAATGCAAAATGATCAGTCTGTTCCAGTGACTATTTCTGAAGAATCAGGATCCACCCAAACTGCTGTAACATCTGGACAGTCAAAGCCACAATGTCTAACACAGCCCACCCTGTTTACTCAACTGGCGTGCCACAAGAGTGAAGCAGGGCTAGTACTGGAACTAGCACCTTAGTTAACACCCAAGGTGCAGATGAGATGCTGGCCAAGGGCAGGGCCATGAACCGGTAATGTGCCACCACAGATCACTGCACTGCTGTGTGAGACCTGAATGGCGTGCACACTGCACATCCATTAAAAATCCATCCAATGCACTAGCTCATTTGCTAAAATGCACTGGTAAAAGCAACTGGCTGATCATCTAGTTTTATAAGGGTGGCCACTTCATCCATAAGAGCTGAAATAGTCTCTTTTCCCTTTCGTCCTCCAGAACAGCTTGTGAGAGATAGGCTCCACCCCTTTTATTAGGAAACACGTCACCCTCAGTTGTTTAAAAGGCCCGCCTCTCTCCTAGCTCCTCAGTTTTTCGCGTTTCCTCCGTCAGAGGGGAGCATGTCACCGGAACGACGAGGGGGCCTCTTTTTGGGGATACCGTTCGGGTTTTGCATAGCATGGTTACCTTATTTGGGCCACTGGTGCGCTCCACTTGCCGCAGTTGATTCCACACCAGGTCCTCCATCTTTTTCAGTGCCCGGGAAGGGCCAGTACCGGAACTGCACCTACCCCCTTGGCTGAGCCCTCGGACCGGAGTCCGGAATCAGTCTTTCAGTCAGTGAATAATTTGGCTCATGAATGACTTTTTTTATAAATTCTTTATTTAACGAGTTTTCAGACAGTAAAACATATATAGCAAGCAAGGGAAACAACTCTCATAGACCTCACGCCGCCATGGTTAGGACACGCCCCCCATGAATGACTGTTAACATCTCAGCTGAGGACTCAGAGGACAGGATAGATTCTAGGAGCAGAGGGCAACATGACCCTAGGCAGCAGAGGTCAGCACCATCAGCAGGCATGCTGCATTAAGCTAGTAGTAGCCGTTGAGCTGGGCCACGTTGAGCAGAATCTGACATGTTGCAACCATGTGCCAGTAAGGCGACATGTTGCCTTAGGGTAAGAGACTAAGCCTCAGGTACTCATAAAAGTCACAGGGCTAGTAGTAGGTGAGGGTTGGAGGTGATCAAAGTCCCTGTAAAAAGGTGCAACAGAAACAGATCACAATTCCATGTGGCCCTTTGCAAAAAGGAGCAGCAGTGGGGAGCTGCTTACTCGACAATGTATGAAGGGAAAGATAGCAAGCATATGTAACACTCCAAAAAAAAATGGCAGGAATGGGGAAAAATGGCTTATGTAAATCAGATATCTCCCTTTCTTCAGGCCCGACCAGCTTACTCACTGAGTCTTCAGAGACAGCGCAAGCACTGAGTCAATGCCAGCAGCTCTGGACATCGAAAGTGCTCCACAGCTTTTACCAGAATGGAGTCTAGAAAGTGCCCCAACACGGACCCCAGTGTAACTTTCAAGTTATCCTTGCAACTTCCAGTCTGGCAGGATCCAGATGCGGTACTCCAAAAGCCAGGCTGAGGATGAACGAATCAGATGGCTACGATTGAAGAAACAAACCCTAGTAGTCTTGAAGAAAAAAAAAAAAATCAAAAAGTGCTAAAATAACAGGTCAGTCTTATAAACAGAGGAGCTGAAAAAAGTCATCCATCCTCCTAGGACACTAGCAAAAAAAACTGAGGCATGCTTGTAGGATCAGTCCCATGCAATGGACATGAATAAAGGATGACATGTTTGAAGTCCAACATGAGTAACAGGCAGGGCTTTAATGAGTGCAGACATAAGGAGGACAGAAATGCGTTATTGGTTGGATTAACAATATTAAAGGAGAACTATGGGGTCAGGGCTTTTCACCCTTGGTTCTCCTTAGGGTAATGGGAGGACACAAGGACACAAACTAGCGTCCTCCCATTACCCTAAGCTCAGTATACCGCGAGCTACAGCTCGCGTTATACTGAGATGCAGCAGCCGGAGCGGATCCCGACATCGAGATCCACCCAGCTGCGTGACTGACAGCTGGCTCTGCCTATTTAGAGGCAGAGCCAGCTGTACCCACCCCCTCCCCCGTCCGTTCCGCCAGTCAGCGCTGGCGGATCGGGGGGAATCCAGCCCTTCCCGTGTCACGGCAGAGAGCCGTGACAGGATCGAGAGGTGAGCGAACGCCGGTATGTGTTCGCTCACCTCCCGATCTACTAAGCCGACCTATTACAGTCTCATTGTCACAGGTCGGCTAGAACTATGAGGTGAGTGAAAATCACTCACCTCATAGTTCTCCTTTAAAGGAAATAAAGCCTGAAAAGAAAAAAATAAAATAATGCAGCCACCACCAGCATTAGTGTGCTGCACTGTATGATGTGTTGGGGGATAGACATGCTTTATAACGTATAGTGATGTGTTCTGCAATGCATTTTTGCCAATCTATCAAAACTGAGGTTTACGTTTGGAGTTAAACTTACAAAACTAAATTGTAATTCAATTTAAGATGAAACCTCAGCTTTTATTTGTGAAGAGGAGATGTCTGCATGCAGGGCAGCCATCAGAAATTTGGGGCCCCTTACACAACTTTAGGCCGCCCCTACCCACCGCACCGCCACCACACCGAGCCGGTGACACTGTTATTATACATTTATATAGCTCTGACATATACTGCAGTGCTGTACAGAGAACACCGAGACAGTCACATCAGTCTCTGTACAGAGGAGCTTACACTCTAATGCACAATGGCACCGGCAGTAGGGGGGACTACAAATCCCAGCAATACATTTATACACCAATGCAGAAGAGTATATGAATTTGGCTCAGGGCTTAGCAACCCGCTGGACGCAGGGCTTAGCGACCCGCTGGACGCAGGTCTTAGCGACGCGCTGGACGCAGGGCTTAGTGACGCGCTGGACGCAGGGCTTAGCGACGCGCTGGACGCAGGGCTTATTGACCCGTTGGACGCAGGGCTTAGTGACGCGCTGGACTCAGGGCTTAGCGACACGTTGGACTCACCTGAGTGTGACCCTGCAGAGCCCACAATAGATGCTGCACAGCCCATCTCAGACTGTCTTTAGTGGGCTCTGAAGGGGTTCTAAGGTGGGCTGGTCAGGGCTGCATCCCCTCCCTCCCTCCTAGCCCCTCTTACCTGCACACCAAGCCTCCTCTGCCGCCGGACTGGCACTCTGCAGGGTCTCAGGTGGGCTGCACACCTCTTACCCGTTAGCCCCAATCCGCCTCCATGGTTGCTGGCAGGCCCCGCCTCCTCTTCTGTCGCCAGGTCCGCCTCCTCCGCTTCTGACACCGGGCCCAGCCTTCCTCCTCCACTCCTGCTGGCTGTCACTGACTCTGCAGCGGCTGTAAGGAGAACGCATCGCTGCACAGATCACGGACAGGTTGTCGGTGATCTAAGAGCGACACATTCCTCCTCACACCCGCCAGTGACAGCCAACAGCCTGAGATGCCATAGCGACCCAGGCCCGCACAGCATCAGGGAAATGTCCTGGCCGGGCCCCACCGACCTGTACTTACATTGTGTTTCAGCATCAGTTTAAATTGCCCAGGTTTGTGAATAAAAACTTCAACAGAAAGTATAGATTCCTTCATGGAAGGAAGTAGGGCTGCATACACTGTTAGAAAAAGAATTGCTGATAAAGTAGAGACAAGTGGCCACTCGGGGTCTCAAACCACCAATGCCCACCCCTAAACACAACACCAGCTTTTGGAAACCTTACTCTTTATATTTTTAAGTTAAAAGTTTGTTGTCATAAGCAGACCAGAGGAAAAAGAGGATTGTCCACTGTACTGAGAATAAGGATCTATTCAAACCAACTTTCTATAAAAGTCATCAACAGACTGGAATAAAAAACTATAAGTGCAAAAATATAAAACTGGACCCAAGTAAAACATTGTCTGTAATGTATGTCCCATGAACAACCTTAGGATAATCCCATGGGATCATGTAGCAAGCAAGCCAAGTAGCAACAGATTATCCAGGCTCGATCCACTTGTGCTTCCATATTCTGTGGATACACACACTTTAAGAATCGGAAGTTTAATGCTTTGTCTATGAGGCTCAGAAGACTGAGAACCTGTCTGCTCATTTCCTGCTGTTGATGGGTCAGCTGGACTGGAGAATTTTGCATGAAAGTTGGAAAGTGTAACGGTGGGCTAATTCCACCAAATATTTCTTCCTGTGGTTGTCCATCCATGACCTTGATAGCTATTCCGAATGGTAAACTAGATGAAAAGGTAATGAAACCATTGGAAGAGGCAATGGCATACCCTCGCCTTAAATAATGGTTTCTGGAGGGGTGTGTAGAAGATGGTTTAGTGCGGTCCTTGGCCTGGACTTCAAAGAACAGATCTGTACAATCCATAACAGTACAGTTGAGTCCTTGATACTGTACTGTTCTCTTGGGTTCAAAGAGCTCTAGGTATCTGGCACTGTACAGGATGGGTATCTAGAAATGGGAATAAACAAATTGCAAATAAACAACATACATTAATGATGAACTGTCGAGTCCACAATCTTTACAAGTATAAAAATCAAGAACAATTCTAAATCAGACTCCACATCCAGATGGTAATAAAAAGGGAAGGGCGTCCTGCAAGGGAAGACCCGGGAGTTTGATGAACCAACACTGGCACTACAATACATTAGTCTTAAATGTAGTAAACCATACAATAGTGCCAAAAGATCCCAGCAACCAATCAGAATTCACTTCACATTTTGTCACATTAGAAGTTGAATCCCAACTGGACTTTACACAGTGCCATATTAAAGTTAACTTATGCTGATAATAATATGTGAACTGCCATTGCTCACCCCTCCTTGTAAAAATGCCAGTTACCTGCCTGTAACACTGATCCACCGGCTTCAATACTGATCGGCACTGAGCACACGAGCAGTGTTCTGATTTCCCAGGCTGGGTCAGTGACTCAAAGTAATAAAGCCAGAGACAGCCAGGCAACCAGTATCATCAAAAGAGGGTCTGCAATAGCAGCTTACATGTTTCTCTCAGTGCAGATATAAAGTTTTTTTTGGTCAGCTATAGTTTAGTCATTTTATTTAGTTTTTTTCTAGAGGTGGAGGTGCACCGAAAAATGAAAATGTTAAAACCGAAAGGAAAAAAATGTCAGGCCGAAACCAAAAATGTTTTTTTCTAATTTTTTAAAAATATTTTATTTTTATTTATTTTTTATAAACTTTTACATTTTTTTACATTTTATTAAATATTTTTTATTTTTTTAGGTGCTTTGGGGAAATATCAGGGAATCTATACTTTCTGTTGAAGTTTTTATTCACAAACCTGGGCAATTTAAACTGATGCTGAAACACAATGTAAGTACAGGTCGGTGGGGCCCGGCCAGGACATTTCCCTGATGCTGTGCGGGCCTGGGTCGCTATGGCATCTCAGGCTGTTGGCTGTCACTGCTTAAAATAGAAAAAAAGATTGAGAACACAGAGCCCACAATCTCTTTTTCTGTGTCCCCCGTTACAAATGAACAGGAATCCTCCAGGAGTGTTCCTGTTCATTCATAACCTGAGAACACACAACCACATATAACCACAATCATGAATGAACAGGAAGTGATGTAGATCACTTCCCATTCATTCATAATTGAGGATATAGTAAACATACTCTGTCCTCAACTATGTACAAGCACTCAGCGATCGCTGACTGTTTGCACATGCTCTCCTTCCTGACACACTGTCACAGGGGGCTGAGCGAACGGTGCTGGGAGGAGAGCTCAGCCTCCTGTGACAGCGCGGGCTGTCTGTGCACACACACTGCTCTGTCACAGAAGCCTGAGTGGTGCGGGAGGAGAGACGCCGACCGCTCACAGTGCTCTCCTCCCACAGCGCCGTCCGCCTGTGACAGTTTATCTCCTCCCTGCTGGGACACAGAGCAGCGCTCATCGGGGAGGATGGAAATCACGGATGCACTGCTGTATAGGCCAGAAAATGCCCTTTCGGCATTTAGCCAAAAGTGCCATTTTTGGCCGATATGTTTCGGCAGCCGATATATCGGTGCATCCCTAGTTTTTTCACATTTAAAAGGTTTTCAAACTTCTATTTAATGCTGTTTTAGTATAGAACTGGGCCGCCTGAGGAGGGCTAGGCCGTCCACTTTTTGTGCTCAATAAAAAGGCCGATGTGAAGGGTTAAGCTGGCTATACACTTGTGTTTTTAATCTTTCAATCCCTGTGAGCTGAATGAAAAAAAAAACTAGATTCCCCCTTCCACGTTAAATAGCAAGGATGGGGGAATCTCCCCATCTAAGTTATTATTTTCAACAGCCTCAGCTCCAGGTAGCATTCATAATGACAAAGGGTAAGTTCACACAAAACTTACCAACACCATCCTGCCACCTCTCCCGGCTCCCACTGCACATCCCTGTGATGCCCCTGCCAACCGCTGCACATTCACAGCATCGCAATATTGTACATACTTTATTTACATATTTTACATACTGCGAGGCTGTGAATGTGCAGCGGTTGGCAGGGGCATCACAGGGATGTGCAGTGGGAGCCGGGAGAGGTGGCAGGATGGTGTTGGTAAGTTTTGTGTGAACTTACCCTTTGTCATTATGGATGCTACCTGGAGCTGCGGCTGTATGGGAATAATGCTTGCAAATGGCGAGCGCTCACTGGTCAGCACGGTCTCATGACCACATTGACCAATGATAAGCTCTTCTCATTGTCCAGCGTGGGTATGTGACTGTACTAACCAATAAGAGCTCGCCAGTTGCAAGCATTATTTGCAAAGGATGTGCAGAGGGGGGCTGGGAAAGGTGGCCGGGTAAGTACATTCTCACATTTTAACTTCAAAGTCAAGCCAATCAAGGGTATCACGTAAACTCCAAACTTTCTGCATTTGTCATTTTGGATAGAGTTGGGGATGGATAATCCTCATCTTTTGTACTATCTGTGCCCCATTTGGAAAGATTTCCCTTCACTTCCTGTCATTATAGACACAAAGTGAGAGGACAACTCCCTAGTTGTCACAGGAACAAGTATCAAAATTTCCCCTCCATTGCGGTTCTTCTGACAACCCTACATGTTGCCTCACTTTTAGTTTATGTGACAATGGTAATCAGTACAAAAATAGAAGGGGAATCTCCCTAGTACAAACAGCAATCAAAACCTGTTTCCTAACCCCTCAGGAAAACTAAAAAAAAAAACAAAAAAAAACGTTTTGGCTTTAGAAACACTTTAAGATGACTGTGAATAAATAATAATGGGCGGCAGATAGCGGTACACTTTATAATATGGCAGCAGATCTGCCTGCTGTCAGTTAATATTCCTGTTTATGTTAAAAATGGAAGAATAACAAGTGATGTATACGTGGGGTAAAGTGCACCTGTCATATTTTAACCCTTTTTAGTTGGAATGAAGAAGAGAGGTTCTATGTGGGTAAATTTAGGTTAGATAATACCTTGCTACAGCCTGCAGATGGCGCTTGCTTCATAAGAACCTGAAGAGAATGCCGCAATGGCTGAATATGATCTTTAAAGGACCCTGTCATAAGGAAAGTACAGGGGCTGCCATTGCTGGTCTCCTGAAGAAAACACTATTTGCCTGGCTTCCTGCTATATTTAAATCTGAGCTATTGTAGGTAGAACCGGTTAGGACAAAACAAGTCTTTTAATAAATATTAGCCAAAAGGAGCCAGGTGGAAAATTGTGGGGTGAACAATCAATACAGTCACTGTTCCGGTATTTAGTAGCCACGGGTCATGCCTGCAGGGAAGAGTTATTCACACAGTTTAGTGTATGGGGGCATCGATTAATTTCTCTTACTCAGTTTACAGGGCTGAACAGATCTAAAGTTGTATGGCTAGCTTAATAAAAGTGTCAGTTTGCTATGACGTAGATAATCTTCTTATCTTGTCTCAGCAACTTAGAGAATTGGAGGCAAATCATCAGCATGGCAAGCAGGAAACGAGCATTCTGTAAAGCACCGGTTCTTAACCTGTGTAACCTCAGGACCCACATTTGTCCTTGGTTATTAAGTCGCGACCCAAGTCGTACTGCAATGGAACGCACAGCATTAGGGTACTGCAGGTTTCGGTGCAGGCGTATGAACTGTGGGTGAAAGGTGTGTTCGGGGTACTATTAGAATGACTTGCAATGCAACACACCTCCCACACCAGTATGCATGGTAGGTGTGATTGCGTGGTACAGTGTGTTAATCGCACGTTACTATGTGATTAATGGCCCGTTCACACTAGCACACGGTACTAGTGTGAATAGACCCTCAAAAATAGTGACATACATGCATACACAATCACAGACACTTCAAATTTTTTTACATCCCTACCTTACGAGAACTCTGCCTGTGGTCCAATGTTGGCTGCTGTGCGGTGACACAGCTCCAGCCATATGTGCATTGCTGATACAGCTCTCTTGCATGCCCTATGGAGATGTGGGGAGCCCGAATGTGACATCACTCCAGTCCAGATACCTCTATAGGACATGTGAGGGAGCTGTAAGCAATGTACGTATGGATGGAGCTCCCTCGTGGCCACAGCCCCATCCCATCTCAAGCTGACACTCTGTGCCAGGCAGCATATTTTGAATGGCTGCTTGGCGTGAGAAATGACAGTGCTGCACTAGGGAGAGGCTGAGGAGTCTCTCACCTAGAAAAGTGGAAGGCATGTGGTGGACCCACAGTTAGATTTTGAACTTTCTAATGCAAATAGCCAACTGTATCTACAGATGCTGAAGAAGCTCTTTGTGGGGCTCTACAATGAAGAACAGCCCTTGTCAACCTTTCTACCTTGGAAGAACCCCTAAAATACCTGTTAGGCCTCAGGGAACTCCTGTTAAAAAACTGCTTTTTAACATTCTCCTGAAAAAAAAATAAGGGCCAGAAAAAGACACATTGAAAGTTGCCCCTTACACTAGTGGTCAAAAGAAAATGCCCCTTACATTAGTGGCCAATGGAAAATGCCCCTTACATTAGTGGCCAATGGAAAATGCCCCTTACATTAGTGGCCAGTGTAGGTCATTTGCACCTTTGTGATCATTGGAGAAGTGCCTCCATATGCACATAGGTAATAAAGAAGTGCCCCTCTATATTCTTGGTCACTGTAGAAGAGTCCCCTTAAGGTGCCCAAACACTGGTCGAATTTGCACAGTGTGGGGCTGTCGGCTCCCTTTCAGCTGGCATTCCTCGATCAGCTGATCGAAGGAGCCGTCTGGAAACTTTTCGATCAATCAGAGCCAGCAGCCAATGAGCTGCCCATTCTGATCGAGTATTCTGAATACTAATTCTGATTCTAAAATACAATGTAAACAGCAGAATTCCTCAATCGACATGCTGTTTGTGTTGATGGAAGGATCGGGTCAATTTTTTTCGTTCAGCATGCGGGTTGAACGAAAAAGTTGATAGGTGTATGGCCAGCTTTACAATGGATGTCAGTGAAAATCCATCCACCATTGCTCACAGCTCAAGGGACCATACATTAGTGGCCAATGGAAAATGCCCCTTACATTAGTGGCCAGTGTAGGTCATTTGCACCTTTGTGATCATTGGAGAAGTGCCTCCATATGCACATAGGTAATAAAGAAGTGCCCCTCTATATTCTTGGTCACTGTAGAAGAGTCCCCTTAAGGTGCCCAAACACTGGTCGAATTTGCACAGTGTGGGGCTGTCGGCTCCCTTTCAGCTGGCATTCCTCGATCAGCTGATCGAAGGAGCCGTCTGGAAACTTTTCGATCAATCAGAGCCAGCAGCCAATGAGCTGCCCATTCTGATCGAGTATTCTGAATACTAATTCTGATTCTAAAATACAATGTAAACAGCAGAATTCCTCAATCGACATGCTGTTTGTGTTGATGGAAGGATCGGGTCAATTTTTTTCGTTCAGCATGCGGGTTGAACGAAAAAGTTGATAGGTGTATGGCCAGCTTTACAATGGATGTCAGTGAAAATCCATCCACCATTGCTCACAGCTCAAGGGACCCAAAACAAACCTGTGGAGGAACCCTAGGGTTTCACTGAACCCAGGTTGAGACAGACTGCTGAAGAATGAAGACAAACCCTTTGGGCTTTTTACAATAAATAGTCACATTAACCTACAACCAATTATGTTATAGGCAATAAGAACACCTCTTCCAATTCACTGAATCGTCTGAAAGAGATAATAATGTATATAATGTAGATAATGTAGCAAAAATGTCCCCTTTCAAGATGTTACCTGAGTAAGCCTTGCATATAAGAGATCTGTCCAATTCAGCCAGTAGCGGGAAACAGTGGACTCAGACACTCGGAATCGAAAGGCTAAATCCTGAAGCAACAACCCCAAACGCAGCCTTGTGAGGACAAGCAGGAGCTGGTCTTCTAAACTCAGAGCGCTCTGAGGTCCAACCTCTGACCTTTTCCGGATTTTGCCAGAACACAGTCTTTGGTCTGCAGTCAGAAAGCTGAGGAAGTCTGCGAGATGCTCATAGCTGTCGAAGCCTGTATAGAAACGTACCCACTTGCCATCATTTTTGATACTGTTCATACAGAATCCACCATCATCCCTGCTGTTCTGCTGGTGCTTTACCTGCTGGCCCAAGTACAGAACTGTCCCAGAACTTCTCTCAAGCTGTTCTTCTAAGTCTTTGTTTTTCTTCTCTAGAATCTCATTCTCACAGCGCAAGTTCCTGATCTCCGATTCCAGCTGGGAAATCTGCTGGCCCATATCAGTCATCAAGAGCCATTTCTCATTCTCCCACTGTTCCTATGATTGGGAATAAAAACAGAAAACATGTTACATTAAGCTATCAACTTTTTTTTTAAAGCTGAACTCCAGTCAGGTAAAAACCCCAATTCATACAGGTATGTGTCCATTAAATTATCATTATGTGTATTTGTAAGAGCAACTAATGGAAGTACCTGAATATGACTTGGCATTAACCTCTTGCAATCCCTTGTACAGCAGAGCCCAAACCGGGAGAGGGAGAAACAACACAATGAGCCAATCAGTCGTGCTGTAGTGCTCATGTGCTCAGACCGGGAGAGGGAGAAACAACACAATGAGCCAATCAGTTGTGCTGAAGTGCTCATGTGCTAACAAGGAACATGCTGACAGGAAGAAAAAGCAGTATGACATAGAGATTAGCTCATCAGTCTTCTGCATCTTCTTCGCTGTCCAATCACAGCCTGTGGATGTAGGAATTGAAGTGCCACACTAGTTAAAATAGCCCAGATGCAATTTTATTCTACTAGGGTCAGGGGACAATCAAGTAGAACAGCCAACGTGTTTCTGGGGTTGAAAAACACCCCCTTCGTCAAGGCTTGGTAAAAGAAATGTGTGTGGACTAAAATCTCTGCAGCTTGAAATTGTTATTGATCTGTGATGGGAAAGCTTCTAGATAAACTAGATGCTGACTAAACTAATCTCTCTATCAACTTTTTGCAAAAGATGTGGAAGCCACACTGCCTCGTCAAGGCCCCTCTGTGTAGTGTGCTCCTAACTCTAATCAATGAGAGCCTCCATCTCAGAGCATATATAGCAAAGGATGAATTGGGTGCAGCTTCACCAGGAGGCAGCCCAATCCTCCTTAATGGCACAGGGACACACCAGAAGCCCAGCACATCACAATGGCAGCTGAAGCCCCCAGTTTGTCCCCACACTAAATCCAACAAGCAAAGCAAATGGCAAACACACTCAGCAATTCATAACTAGCTTTAAAGCAAAGCACATGGAAGGGCTTTACACACTTAACAGCCAGGCGGCAAAAAAACAAACAAACACTGTCCAACTTTTAGAAAATAACAAACAAAATAATATAGTCACCGGCACTCCAAGTATTCAAGTCAAAAAGTTTATTGACCCAAGTGAAAACACCTCTAGCAACGTTTCGGGACCATGCGGCCCCTTCCTCAGGTACACCCTCCCCTTATTGACTTGAATACTTGGAGTGCTGGTGACTATATTATTTTGTACGTTTTTGACGGAGGCATCCGTTGTTGCTGCGGCACCCGCCCTGCTGCATGGGCATTTTCCGGTCAGGACTGCGATGGGATACTTGGACTTTTGTCCAACTTTTAGGGTAACAAAGTTGGTTTTAATTTAGTTGCACAACCTTTGCAAAATATGTGAAAGCCGCAGTGCCTCGTCGAGGCCCCTCTGTGTAGTATGGTCCTAACTCTAATCTACGAGAGCCACATATTTTGTAAAAGTTGTGCCACTAAAACCACAGGTTCTTTATTTAGGAAAAGACAGGAGAATAGTAACATACACTGGTACATTAATGTGGAATAGCGGTATAAATCAATGTACAAATGAACATAGAACATTTAACAGGTAAGAGTAATGGCACAGATATTTAGCATACGGCCATGTGCATATCCATAAGCAATGAAGATCATCAAGTTATAGAAAGTGTGACTACTCATCCTATCCGATTTTTTACAAGAATAAGCAATAGAAGAACAAAGTGAACCATAGAGAAGTTAAGCCTTAAGGGTAGGCAGAAAGAAAAGGAGAAAGGAAAAAGAAGGGGGTAGAACTACTCCAGGAAGAAGGATAAGTGTATGATGAAGAGAAAATAGAGAGCCAAAGGATGTTTGAGAAGGAGAGAGGAATAAGAAGAGGAAAAAGAAAATGGGAAAAAAGGTCTCCATCGGGGGGAGGAGGCCGCTCTGTTTTTAACCCTAATAGTTAAGACAATGGGGGGAATTTATCATAGCAATTGCGAGTGTTTGAACTTGCATGGAATATATTTGCACCAGATTTATGATGCTAGTGTAATGTTGTTCATTAATGAGGTTTATTAGACTCCAGGAAAGAAGACTCGTAACTTCAGACAAAAGGCTTAACTGTCGCTTCCTGAAGAAGTGGTCATGGGGACTTCTTAAGTTGTGATTGTTTTCTTAGGTGATGCTCCAGTTTCAGACAGCCACAGAACAAATGCAGATGAAAACAGGTGCAAAACACGTGCAGTTGGAAAAGTAATGCAAGCTCAGGTCAAAACAGGGGCACATGTTAAAAGACAGATTTGCAGATTTAAAAAAATGATCTAAGAGGCTAAAACTGTCGTAATTGCTTTGATAAATTCCCACCAATGTATTTTTTATGAGCCAAGAACTTCCTGTATTGCACTTAGATCAATTACATTGTCCCCAGCTATCTCTGTAGACTACAAAATACCCTTCCCATATTTTGGAAAAAAGTAGGGGTGTTCTATAGTCGTCTCCTAGGGTGACTACGCTGCTGCTGAATTAGTGTTGTCATGCTAGGACAGGGAATGTGGTACTGGCTGGTTCACTAGGCAAAAATAAAAGGGAAAAAGCCTGAAAAAAGCAAACCAATGCAGCCATCACATTTAAGTACCAGTAAGCTGCAATATATAATCATTCTTGGGTTTAAATATGCTTTATTCATAACTATCTTTGGTTATTAACACAGTGTGAAAAAGGCCTTTTGCCCAACAGTGATCAAGAACAGATTTGTATTTGCATGTTACCTGCAGCGTATGGCATTGCATCTCCTTGCTGTTGAGTGCTTCTTGCAGTGAGAGGAGAAGTTGACTCTGCTGATGAGTTACCTTCTTTAACTCTCTCACCAACTTTTTCAGGAGCTCAGGGTCATCCGGTACACAATAATCTCCATGGTCGTGTACAATATACTCATTCGCATCCAGGTCTTGGAATGTTGTTTCACTTGCTTTCTCCATCATCTCTGCTGCCAAAACCAAGTCTCCAATACTGGACTGAACTTCCACTGAAGTAAAGGGAAAAAGAGGGAAAAGAAGAACTGCTACATCATAAAACACAGAAAAATCTCCAACATCAAAATTGTTCTTGTTCAATAAATGTATTTCATTGCCAGGTTACAATTGGCCTTCATAGATATAACAAAGTTCAGTCACGATTCACATTAAAAGAAAGGCTACAAACATAGATTACCAAGCTATGTGTTTATCAGGCAAAACAAGATGATAACGTACAAGTAGGAGGTACAAAGTAGGGATGCACAGATACTTTTCGAGTACCAGTGCAGATACTTGGCATTTTCATGAGAACTACCAGGGTTGCAGCGGTTGCAGCTGGGATCGGGCTCAGGTGCTCCACCACTGTCCTGAAATCATTAGTCTGTATTGATTTCGAAAAACTGTCACATGACAATAAACAAAAATGTATCAGTACTCGTACTTGTAAGTACTCGGCAAGTACCAGTACTCGTACTCGCAAAACTGGTATCTGTGCATCACTTTATTTATAATTTATAAAAACAAAATCGTACATTAAAACAGAGATGTACAAATCCCAGGAGCTCCGTGTGCTCCTTACAAATGACAGCTGCCTCCTAACTTTTGAATTTTTCTCTAGTCTAGTCTTGGAGCTCAAAAAGTATCGGTATATGTACTCGTACTTGTACCGAGTACTGTACTTGGTATCTGTGCAACCCTAGTACAAAAGGACCAAAACGTCATCAACAGTAAAGGGGGGGTGCAATACAAGTGCAATACACTTTCATAAAAACTAGGTTAAAAATGTTCAGTCCAGGACTGCCAAGTCAGGAAATATATGTCCATTGTATCAAAGAGCATCGCCATTTTTTCATGGATCATAGTCTGTGTGACTCTGGACCTACTCTCAGCTACAGAAAGATTGGAGGATTCCCAGGTCTTGGCAATGGTTTGTTTTGTAGCCATAAGAATAAACAACATCAATTTAAATTGGGGTATATGAATATGTTAAGGTTTCAGGTTCGAATCAGCATCGAAATGTTATAACTTAACTCAAGGCACAATAAACCTGGAGTATAGTACAATGTATATTGCTTTTTCTACAAATCCAGTACTGGCGTCTTCTCCCCACAAAATCATCACGTACATGCTCACACTGAACTTCCGTGTGCGTTCCAGCTGTAGCACTGCAGGCTTCATAGTCCACAAAACAGAGCCCTTGGGCCATTAGCTTCATGAGAGAAAGGGATGGAGAATGGAGATAAGACCACAGCGCTGACGTCTCTACGACACCTGCAGTGCTACAGCCAATACTGCGGACACAGAGGTTCGTCGAGAGCTGGATTCCCACTTGCATGTATACTGATGCCTTAGCACCAGTACTGAGTATGGGAGGTAGTTTTCTAGAAAAAGCACTGTACATACTACTGTAATCCAGATTATTGTGTCCAGAATCGGCCTTTAAAAGGATTTTTAGGAACAGGCTGTCATACAGAAAGGTGACCGTCTTTCACAAATGCTTAAAGGAGAACTATGAGGTGAGTGCTTTTCACTCACCTCATAGTTCTAGCCGACCTGTGACAATGAGACTGTCACAAGTCAGCTCAGTAGAACGGGAGGTGAGCGAACACATACCAGCGTTCGCTCACCTCTCGATCATGCCACGGCTCTCTGCCGTGACAGGGGAGGGGCTGGATTCCCCCCTCCCCGCTCCGATAGCGCTGACTGGTGGAACGGACGGGGGAGGGGGTCGGGTACAGCTGGCTTTGCCTCTAGATAGGCAGAGTCAGCTGTCACTCACGCAGCTGGGCGGATCTCGACATCGATGTAGCTCGTGGTATACTGAGCTTAGGGTAACGGGAGGACGCTGGTTTGTGTCCTTCCGTTACCCTAAGTAGAACTATGGGGAAAAGCACTGACCCTATAGTTCTCCTTTAAGAAGAAGCACTGACAATCATTACAGTACAAAGAAAATAATTTCTCAAAACTGGAGCAGCTGTGCATGGCAACCACATACCTGAGCAAACTGAAGAGGGATGCTGATTAGTTGCCATGGGAAACTGCTCTGGATTCTGTCTGCTCCAGTTTTGATAAATTCCCCCCCAAAGACTTTTATACAAAAAATTATAATCTGGCAGAAAAGGAAACTGCAACAAATATTATCAAAATCATTTTTAGAGTATAACTAAAAGCAAAACCTTTTTTAGATTCAGATAGAGTGGAGACCTGTTGTAACCCCCGTCAGGTTTTTACACTTCTCTGTGTCCCTGTTGGGGAGAGTTGCTCGCTCTAATTGTTCTGAACACAAATGCCACTGAGAATGAAGCCGAGTGTAAATGGAGTTGCCACCAGAACAGGAAGAGAGGAGAAATCTGGGGATCACTTGTTGCCGTAACCAACTGCCTTAAAAGGGATTACCCTCACATTGCAAAATAATCCCCTCACTTCTTCCTGAGTCTGCCGGCCAGGTCTGCATTATCAGATGTAGTGTGAAATCATCTGGAATGTGCTGACTGTGTGTTAGTTAGTCAGCCAATTACCAAATGAGGGGTACACATACCAGAAGACCAGGTACAGGTCTGGCAGCCAGCAGGATTATGTAACGCAGGGGTAGGCAACCTTGGCACTGCAGTTGTTGTGGAAGTCCCATGAGGCATTGTATCAGTTTGACAGCCACAGCTGTGACTCCCAGAGACTGTATCATGATGGGATTTGTAGTTTCCCTACAGCTGGAGTGGAGTGCTCAGGTTGCCTACTCCTGAAACCAATGCAGCCAACAGCTGACCTCACAGGTGAACTGGATAATGAAGAGCTCAGGATTCGCATTTATTGATGGATGATGATTCTTCTAATGGAATACTTACCTCTGACACCAACCACTGCAGCCAACAGCTGACCTCACCTAGGTCACAGGTAAACTGGAAAATGGAGTGGCAATGATTTGCATTTAATGATGTGTTAGGCCCCTTTCACATGGGCGACTCAGGAGGGTTGGGAGTGGTATGGCTCGTATGCCACCACTGTAATATCCATGTCCATACAGTTTTCTCCTCCATCTTGCAATGGAGGAAGAAACTGAAATGACCGGACCCCATGACAGGCTATGGAGAATCCATTTACATCAGATTACACCCGATCTGGTACAATCAGGTCCGTTGAAATGTTTAGACCCGGCTGCCCACAGACTAGCATTAAGCATCCAATTGGGTCTGCTAGAAAGCTATGTTCTCACCATGTCTGGACCAGATCTGTAGCAGATCGCAAACGCAGTGCAGTGCGTTTTGCTGCTTTTTTTTCCCGCGTTCCGGTTCTTTTTTTTTTTTAGCATATAATGGGCTTTCAGGCGCAGTCCAGTGCGTTCCGTGCATTCTTGCTGCGTTTTTGATGGGTTTTGCTGCACATTCCAGTGCTTTCCAGACCAGAAAAATTAAGACATGCAGTATTTTTTCGGTCTGGAACGGAAAGCACTGCAAAGGTGTGAACTGTAGCCCAGAAATCACATAGGGATACGTTTTTGGTCTAGGAGCTAACTGTTCTGGTCTGGACAGAATCTTGACGTCGTGTGAACAAGCCCGAAAAAATGACAGGCAGACTCTATCAGCCTTATGGTTCTTTTTGGGTCAATCTAACCGAAGAAAACACGTGTGTTGGTGCATTCAGAATTCAGTGGCTACTTAAAGAAAGATGCTTTGGGTGGCCAATCAATCAAGCCTTCATTAGTTGTGGTTGAGGGCAACAAGACATGCACATCAAAGGCTCAGTTCACTAAGATGGAGGAGTTGTTATTTTTACAGCAAATTATTTGGCCACATTTTCAAAAAAGCCACAGCGGTGTTCAGCCCAAAAGAGGTTTATAAATCACAGTCACATGGCTAAAATAAATTCCTATGAAAGTGCACTTATTCTTTAAAACTCAGTGAACAATTGTGGTTGGAAGCTGATAAAAATTAATCAAAATTGCCATCAAATTTGCGAAGTGTTGGCCAGAGATTAGCTATGCCCCCTAGAAGTATGCACCACAACATGGAGGCAACTCTAGAGTTACCTGAAAAGCACCACTTCACAGGATATGAATGTGACAGCAGAGACTAGGACATGGAACAAGTACAGGGGAGGCACTGGGTTCAAATATTCAGAAGCACAATGGGTGTGGTAAGGCCGCTCTTATCAAAAACAAGACATCTCACCCCTAAGAGAATCCAGGGTTGAAGATATATGTGTATATACAGTCCAATGAGAGTGCCAAACAAGACAAGATGGGAGTCCACAAACGTTTAACAATGAAATGAGTTCATAAACTACAACTTAGAGCAGCCAATGCGTAGGTAATCCCTGGTGATCTGGGCTGGTTTTGAGTCCATAATACTACCTATCCTGTTTAAGCCCTGACGAAGGGGAAGGTATTTATACCCCTGAAATGTGTTGGCTGTTCTGTGTTGTCATTTATGTACCCATTCCATTATTAAATGTTTTTGGCCTCTCATTCTGTCTTGTTTGGCGCTCACATTGGACTGCATATACAAGCAGACACTAGGAAGACAGTGAACAACCTTTATATAGAAGAAAGATTCCCACCTGCTTCTTTCGACATCTGAGGGGAATCATTTTGCGCTCTTTTCCTCTTGCTTTTTCCATCCTTTTTCCTCCAATTCAGCTTTCTCTTTGAGATGGATTTGTCTTCGGCAACTTCTTGTTCCGTGACATAATCAAGAGCACTGACGTTTGATATTTCAGTATCCTGAGTGTAAGGAAGAAAAAACATGTAGATTTACATCACTGCAAGTTCAGGATGGAAAATATACGTTGACATAAAAAATACCAGCAAAAAAAAAATATGAGAGACCCTAAAGAAATATAACCTGTTTTAAAAAAGGCAAATGACCAATCCAACCCCAGTCATGTGCTCCACACCTTCCGTTGCCTATATTTACTTTTGCCACCACCCCTGATCTACTCAGGTCCTCACTGCCGCCCTCTTAATATCATCAAATGGAGGAGCTAGTGACATGCCACCCGATTCCCTGCAATGCTACACTTGGGGCCTGAATAGCCAATCACCAGCCTTCGACACTGTCACATGGGGCATGCCGGTCCGTGTGCAATTGTTATCAATAGTAGAAGTAGTCAATAGCTAGGGACTTTGCCAAGATCTGTTGTTATTTCCCCCCAGCAACCAATCAGATTCAGAATTTTAGTTTACGATTCACCGATGCCAGTATTCAGTACGGAAACTTTAAGGCCTCATTCACACTAGAAACGGCTGTATCAGACAGCTCCTGTGAAGGACAGGTGCTGCGTGTGATTAGTACGGCCGTACGCCGCCCTACACTCACCTCAAGTGCAGGTGCGTACGGGTTCTTCGGATCCTTCCTGTCAGCGTACGAGTACGGACACCCGCACGGACGTGCAGGGCGGGTGAGCGTAGGGCGGCGTACGCCCACTTTTTCCCATAGAGAAGGACAGGGGCTGCGTACTAATCACACGCAGCACCTGTCCTTCCCGGGAGCTGCCCGATACGGCCGTGCACGCAGCACAGAGCTGTACGTGCCGGCCTTTTCTAGTGTGAATGAGGCCTAAGTGGGACTGTAAAAAAATGTGTGGCCGGGCAGGCTTTTATTACGAAAGAGATATACTATGGGACAGATAAAATATTGTAATCCATTTCGCACAGCGTACATCTGTGCGAACAAAGGTTGCAGCTCATTACTGCCACTAGATGGAGCCAAGGAGCATAGGAATTTCTGATGCTCCTCTGCGCCATCTAGTGGCAGTGATGCTCTGTGAACATATTATAAATCAGACCCTACGGGGGGGAATTTATGAAAAATGGAGCAGACAAAATGTGGAGCAGTTTTGCACTGCAGCCAATCAGCTTCTGTGTCTCATTTTCAAATCTTACCCGAGCAAACTGAAGACAGATGCTGATTGGGTGCCATGGGCAGCTGCTCCAGATTCTGTCTGCTCCGTTTCCCAAATTCCCCCAATGTCTCTTCTGCAAAAAGGGAGTTTAACCTGCCTATTCACCAACTTCTGGGCAATGCACACTGAGCTGCACATGCACGGGAGTTAGGTCAGAGATGTCCATGCCGGCGAGGGCGCTTGCTGATGTTACATTGCTGGTGAGAAGGAAAGTATGGTTTTGATTTAAATAAATGAGACATTTTAAAGCTCAACTCAAGCCAAAACCTATTTTTGTTGCTATTGTTCCTGGAATGGTGACAGAGGGGCAGGAAATCCCTCCAACGGGGACAAAGGCACAACATTTTAATTTTTTGTTTGGAAAAAGGTTTAGAAGCCATGTGAGGTTTTTAGTCTTGTTTGAACTCCACTGAAAGGTCAGATTAGCAGTAAACTAGCCACTTGCTTTTTTCCTCGTGTTAATGCTGAACCTTGGGCACAGAAACTTTCATTGAAACCTTTCCCACAATAGCCACTGAGGATAGAATTCCACTCTGCATGCAACAAATGCCTTTGCAAGCCCAGTTAATACCTTGTAAAAGTGGAAATGACATCATCACTGTTCAGCACATAGCCTATGCAAAGAACAGAGCTGTAGGAGGGGGCCATCAGCTCCACCTACTAAAGGCTGACTACAGAAAACTACAGGAGGGGGCCGGACAAGACCAGTCACCCTGTGAAACAATGTATGTTTGTTTTTGTTACTTGAAAATCTACCCATCAAATAAATCATGTCTGGCCATTCAGCATGATTGGAAGAACACTAGTGTGGGTAATGACTGCTATAGTGAGTGGCGCTGGTTGTGTAGCACTGTTACCTGTATCTGATGACAGTTGTAGTGAGTGGCGCTGGTTGTGTAGCACTGTTACCTGTATCTGATGACAGCTGTAATCAGTGGCGGTGGTTGTGTAGCACTGTGACCTGTAGCTGATGACAGCTGTAATCAGTGGTGGTGGTTGTGTAGCACTGTGACCTGTAGCTGATGACAGCTGTAATCAGTGGCGTGGTTGTGTAGCACTGTGACCTGTAGCTGATGACAGCTGTAATCAGTGGCAGTGATGGTGTAGCACTGTGACCTGTATCTGATGACAGCTGTAATCAGTGGCGTGGTTGTGTAACACTGTGTGACCTGTATCTGATGACAGCTGTAATCAGTGGCAGTGGTTGTGTAGCACTGTTACCTGTATCTGATGACAGTTGCTCTTGGGATCAGCGCTGGTATCGAGCAGGTCAGTGTCGCTCTCCACATCCACTCGCTCACAGATCTCATTGTCACTCACATCCTCCATGTATAGACTATGTGACACCCAACTGTGCAAATATGACCCAAAACTAAAAGAACTGTACACGATACAAAGAGAAAAGACTTTGCAGTAATCCAGGCTTCAATAAAGCGGAAGTCGATTGTAGCCTCGTTTTGAAAACAAGATGGCAGACATGAACCTGCCCTATAGGTGACTGCTTGCCAGACGTAAAGATGGTGTCTGCAGTCAGATGTATTGGCAAGTGATAATGGGTGACCGTGTGATTTCCGGTTATCAGTTTTACAGATCAGGACCTGTTTGTAACTGGTTGTGTCTCTCCCTAATCACGGGAGCTCATCAGCTGTGGTGGAGTGTACATTGTGTGTCAGTCATACAACGCCCGCTACACCTCCTTCTCCTGTCAGCTCTTGCAGCTTCATTGCATTCTCAGTCAGTGTTCCGTCCCTTCTGGCAGCTCATTAGACCCCAGAAGTTACAGCAAAGACATGTATCTAAAACTATATAACAACGTCAGTGTAAACACATCACACTTCCCAAATCAATAGACTTTCTCAGAGCCTTCCATTTCCTGCTCTCTCCTTCATGTGAATCCCCCTCCAGGGGCCTCTCCTTTGTCCACAGCATTAACCCTTTCATCACCTTTAGGACTTGCTCACACCATTTTCTGGTCCAGATTTGGAGCAGATCTGCAGACGCGGTGCTATGCGTGCAGTGCGTTTTTGAGGTGTTTTTACCGCGTTCCAGTAAAAAAAAATGTTTTTTTTTTTGGGAGTGGGGCTGTTAATATGTTAGCTGCGTGTGTTTCCGCACCGGAGTAAATGTGACATGCAGTATTTTTTCTGTCCGGAACGGACTGCGCTGGTGAGAACTGTAGCCCATAAACCACATAGGGAGACATTGGGATGCATTTTGGGTGCAGGAGCGCACGGTTCTGGTCCGGACAGAATTCGGACAACGTGTGAACAAGCCCTTAAGCCGTATACACACACCTCCCAGCTGGCCCTCATTTGGAAATCCCTTTGCTCCTCCTCAGTTTGGTCTGATGTATAGAGATCTATGAAAAGGTTCTATTTCACTTCTAAAAGTTATTATACACTAAAAATCTTCGTCCTATGTCTTTATCTGTGCAGGATATATGATGGGCTGTGGAGGGTCCCTTTCCCTGCACACATGCTGTTCCTCTTACCTGCAGCTCCCCAGCCTGCTTTCAGGACATGCCTCTTCTTCCTCCAGCCACCGAAGCATCTTGCTGGAGCCTCCGCTGGCCGGGGCCATCGTAAGCCAAGTGCCCACGTTGCCTTGCGCTAGCGCCGGCCCTGACTCAGATTCAGATCGGAGTGTAGCCACGTGCAGCCGCGCCCTGTCATATAGTTGTACAGGTGACTGCACACATTTACAGGCTGCACCCATCCCTCAGGAGCAGGTCTATGCACGGGCATGCATGCCGAAAGGATGCCCACGCCCCTGTGATTGAAGCCTAAAGGAAAAGTGATGGTGAAAAAAAACAAACAGTTCTGGGTTTAACCAATATTCTTTGGCATTCAAATTGTTAATGGTCTGCAAAATTGGGGGCGTGGCAGGTTGTCTATGATCTAAATACACTGAGGATAATTTATCAAAACTGGAGCAGACAGAATCTGGAGCAATTGTACATGGCAACCAATCAGTTTCTATCTTTCTTTCTCAAGTATTAACTGAACAAACTGAAGATAGAAGCTGATTGGTTGCCATGTACAATTGCTCCAGATTCTGCCTGCTCCTGTTTTGATAAATTCCCCCCATATTGCTGGAAGTTGTCCCTTTTTATTATCTCAGAAAGGTGGGAGGTATGGTATCAACTAGGGACGCACCGATACCGTTTTTCCGGTATCGAGTACCTATAATTATATTTTGGTACTCACCGATACCTGTACGTCCGGTAGCATGGAGCCAGCTTCCTGGGCAAACAGGAAGCCAGGAGGCAGGTCCTTACCTGCTGCCTGGCTTCCTGATTGGCCAGGAAGTCAGCTCCATGCTGTTTGGCTGGCTCAATGCTGATTGGCCAGGAAGCCAGCTTCCCAGCCAATCAGCATGGAGCCGGCTTCCTGGCAGTACTGACCCACCTCCTGGCTTCCTGATTGGCCAATCAGCATTGAGCCAAACAAACAGCATGGAGCCAATAAGTCATTACCCGCGGCCCGGCTTCCTGATTGGCCAGGAAGCTGTCTGCATGTTCCCTTGCAGCACTGCCGGTCAGGGGAAATCTCCCTCTGACTGGAAGTGTTGTGGAAATTTTATTACCGTATATACTCGAGTATAAGCCGAGATTTTCAGCCCATTTTTTTGGGTGAAAAGTGCCCTCGGCTTATACTCGAGTCAGCGCCAGCGCGTCTTCTTACTTACCTCGCCGAGCGTCGCGTCACTGCTGCTCGGTGTGCGGCGCTCCGAGCGGGGTCATCTGGCAGTCTCCGGGAGCTGGGGGTCTGTTCTGCCCTTTTCTACACTGACTCCACGATGAAAACATGACCCATGTCCTGACTCTACATGACTCTACAAAGGTACCTCCTGTCCTTGCACAAAAGAGCGTAATACCCCAGGCCCCCAACGTTATTGTAATTATCTTCTCAGATGTCAAATAAAACATTTTGCTTTAACGGATGACTTAAGGAACAAATACTTGCTGAAGAGAACATACATGATTACAATCTTCCTGTCTCTGTCAATTTTCCTGTAGTCTTAAAAACTCCCAATAGTACAGTATGAGTAAACTAATTGTGTGCCCACGCACCTTTCTGATGTTGCTACTGAAGATAAACGTTCAACCTCCTCCCTCGTTCAGTGTGGAAAAGATCAGGTTATTTAATGGGCAAATAAACAAAATCGTTTGATCGTGGCACCCGGAGCCATTTACATGTAATTACACGTACTGCGATTACCCGCAGACAATCGCCCCTGCACACAGTGCTTAGAGAGATATCAATCATTCCCTCCATCCATGCTAAACATGGATAAAGGAATCTTCCCTGCTGGCTATCCTGTGGGTCCTGTCGGCTGCTGAATACCTGAACAGTGACTGTATTTCTTTGTTCGCCCAACAATTTCCACTTGGCTCGTTCGTCAAAAGTCAGCTTAAAATACGACTTTTACGAGTTGGGAGATGCCAAGAAGACCACGCGCAGCTGGGATTCAGCAACAATTGACAGAGATTCTAGCAGTGTCTGACCAGCTTTACTCTATTTTTTAGCTATCATTTTCTTACTCAACAAGATCCCCTGAAACCTCCATCGAGTGCTAACACAAGTAACATGACTGAACTGTGCTGCTGTCAGTGAGTGACACTTTAAAAGAAGGAATAAATGGGTGTGACTACGCTTCTTTCCATCTAATACTAAGGCTCCGGTGGAAGGGCCCCATGACTGGTCACAGGATGGAATGCAATGATTTATACATGGGTGTAAAGGGACTGGATTTCCATTTTTACAGTTGATTGTAGTTGGGTGGGAAGTGTCTGCGTTCTGTGAGCTGGGAGGATGCTGCCCTTCTCCACTCTTAAACCTTTCAACTGAGGTGTCATTTTCTTGTTGGGAAGATAGTAGAGAGAGGAATATATAGGCCGTCACTGGGGACTAATTGCCCATCCTTCCTGTTCATATGGTGTATTGAAGCAAAATGTGCCACGTGTGTGTTTTATTGAGTTTCCATTCGATTGTAATGAGCCTTCAAAAACACACTGCAGAATTATGAGTGGTCCATCAGGATTTGTATAGCGTCTCTTCACATGCTGGGGCACCTAACGATATACGGGGCTTTAGGCTGCGGCTGGGGATTCCTGCAGCAAAGGTATTCCAGGTGTGTCCATACAGATGTGGCCGCTGTTCCCGTTCAAGTAAGTGACAGGCTGAAAGCGGCCACGTCTGTCAGTGGCAGTCCCCATGTAATTGTACATAAAACGATTACATGCGGATCAGGAGAGATGATTGTCCCTGAATGCAATCTGTCTGTATCCAGGGACAATCATCTATTCCGAACCACAGGTAATTGTTCCATGCATGATTACATGCGGACTGCCGCTGACAGACGCGGCTGCTGCCAGCCTATTATTAATGTGAATGGGCACAGCAGTCACATCTGTACTGACACACCAGGGATTCCTGTTGCAAGAAAAAAACTACAAAAGTAAACGATAAGATAAATAAAAATTTAAAAAAGTAAAAAAATAAATAAAAATTAAAAAGTGATAAAAAAAGTTAAGAAAAAATTAACAGACAATAAAAAAAAAATTAAAACTAACTCTGCCGCCCCTGCCATCCGGTTGCCATTCTCCAGGGCGGGTTGAGGGGGAGAGGGGCGCATTGCAGAACCTGGCCTTGGGGCAGCAGGGAGAGTAAATCTGGCCCTGTATATATGTGTGTGTGTGTGATGTGTGTGATGTGTGTGATGTGTGTGTGTGTGATGTGTGTGTGTGTACAGCACTGTGCAAAAGTTTTAGGCAGGTGGGAAAAAATGATTTCAGAAAGAAAAGTGTTAATAGTTTATTTTTATCAATGAGAAAATTCAGATTGTACTCACCTAAAATGTGATTGCTCTGCATCACTGTATTTGTACATTGTTGCTCGTTTTTTACAAAAAAAAAAAGTTCACCTTTGTAGTCTGCCAATTATTTCCTAATAAGGGTCGAAGGTTATTCAGTGAACTGTGGTTTTATGTGGCTTAAGTGCATTATCACTTCACCAAAAAGTTATTCTTTCACTTGTTTGTTATCTTATAAGTAAACTAATCATTTGATTAGCTTTTTTTTTATAGTTCATTACACATCATTCTTATCTGCACCATGTTAATACAAACAGGTTATGTATTTGAATGTCTTGATTTATTTCTGCATTAAATGATACCATGAAATCAGCCACTGGCAGACGCAGCCAAACATGCTATTTTATCGAATTAGTGAACTACTTAGGGGGATTTTGCCCTACAATAGATGTCTCATTACAACACCTATAAACAGAAAATATAAAATAATGCTGTAGGTGCAGCACAAACAGTACAACATAAAACTGGGCAGGTCTGGTGCTTTTAATGACAGCATGAGGGTTGGGCACACAGTTTAAAGAAAGCATCCCTGTTGCACTTTTTCTTTCTTTTGAAGAACACGATTTAACTTGTACTGACAATTATCTGTTTACTATAATCTTAGTATGTCACTTGAGATATTTTCGGTCACCATAAAGAAGTGGGACAATCTGTCAGTATGACATACGGTGAGATGGATGCAGCAGTTCAGATGTAAAGAAAGCACAGCCAATAGTTGCCGTGCTTGCACAATAATTGAATACTTTGCTGCGACAAAACATTTGCTTGACTCCGCTTGTTTTTTTTTTGTTTGTTTTTCAATCTGACATTTCATTGTCTGAAGAGTTGTGGTGATGGATACAGACTATTTCCAACACAAAGGGATTCATTTTGCTTCAATCATTTACTCAGAAGAAAGACTCAAGTATCTGGAGAACGAGTTTCAAGTTCAGGATGATGATGTCTATATTGTCACCTTTCCCAAATCAGGTAAGGAATGAAAGCAGCTTAACATCTCTTAAGCCTCACACCTAGGAGTTTTTCAGCAGTCAGAAAAGTGCTTTTATATGCCCAACGCAAGAAATTCCATGATTTTCAATGGCCTTTGTTCACACCTGAGCAGAAAAACGCCAGCAGGAATACACCAAATGCTCAAAAAGGTACATGAGCTTCTTTGGGCAGTTAAAAGGGCGTTTTTGCCCCATAGGCTTCATTGAACATGCCCAAAAACACGCTGCAGAAGCATGTTGCACATTTTGGTAAGCGTTTTTTGCGTTTAAACACATTCTTCCATTGCCCACAATGTTTCATAAGCTGCAAGTCAAGTAGCGCGTCTTCATGTACGCGATTAAAAATGCTCATCAAAATGTGCACAGCGTGCATAAACACGCGATTGACCGCATGCGTAAAAACGCACAAAAACGGTGCTGCCTAGGTGTGAACCCAGCCTTGTAGTGTATTTCCACTATGGTGATAGAGGAGTTTTTGTAAACTACTGTCATGCCTTGTTTATTGCCAGCTCGCTAATTTGAGTATGTGTTGTACAAAGCTCTTTTCTAACCCCCGTGTATTAAAGAGAGGCCTAGGGTCATTGAGACTTCTGCATTTTAGATGTGGTATGTTTTAGAGCAGGGGTCTCAAACTCAATTCACTCGGGGGCCACTGGACAAATTTACTTGTACCAATTTCATACTTCAAATTAAAATGCAACTATATTTGGTACCAGTGTTAATGTCTGCATGCGTTTATAATGTCAGCACCTGTGTTTGTGATGGTTTCTTTGTATACCAATGTAAGAATATTTTTTTGTGATGGTTTGTGTGTTGTGTATTGTCAGGATTTCTGTGAGTTATGTGGGTACGTATGTTAATGTTTCTGTGTGTGTCGTATCAATATGTAAACCTGTGGATATGTGTGTGGTTTTTTTTCCCCCACAGGTTTTATTTTAATCATAGAGGACCAACAGATTCACACATTCACTACTTACACACAGAAATACGCACACATTGCGCACACGAGAAATTACCCCCCACCCAAAAAAAAATACGCACACACCCAGAAATACACACACTAATACACACACAATAAGGCCCCAGTTACACCAGTAAGTTCAGGTGTGATTAGGGATTCCTGCGTCAGGAACTTGCGTTTTCCTGCAGCAGGAATCCCTAATCTGGCATTTACATGCAGCAGCTGTCACCTGTTCAAGTTAATGATCGGGTGATAGCCGCTGCATGTAAATCGCTCCTGATGCAGGAATCACTAATCACACCGAAACTTACAGGTGTGAATGGGGCTTAATAAACACACACACAGAAATACCCCCCCCTCCCCCCCCACAAAATGACAGACTAATACACAATAATAAATCCCCCT